TTTTTTTTGTTGCTTTTTGTTTTTTTCTTTCCAGGCAGGCCCTTTGTTGTGCTGGGGACTGAATCTAGGGCTTTGCATATGTTAGACAAGTGCTCTACTATTGAGCTTCACTCCAGCCCCTGGATAAGCTCTCTTGACAAGAGATTATGACATAGTAGCTCAATATTATTTTTTTTGGTACCAGGGATGGAATGTATGGCCTTCCCACTGAACTACATCCCCAGCCCATTTTAGTATTTTTTATTGTTTTATTGTATTTATTTATTTATTTATTGTGGAACTGGGAATTGAACTCAGGTCCTTGTGTAATTGTTTTTTTAAATCAATCTTTATTTCTTTCTTATTTGGTGCAGGGTCTCACTATATAGCTCAGACTCATGAGTCTCCTGTCTCAGCCCCTCTGGCGCTGGGATTACAGGTGTGTGCTTCCATGCCTGGTTCCAGTGGCTGGCTTGGCGTGGGGCTAGTGCAGCATGTGGTACCAGAGACCAAATCCAAGTTCTTGTGCTTGCCAGACAGGGGCTTGGCCAAGCTATCTCCTGGCCCAAAATTATTTATTTTGAAACAAGGTCTTGCTAAATTACCCAGGCTGGGTTAAACCTTGTACTCCTCCTTCCTTAGCCTCCTAGAATGCTAGGATTACAGACATGTGATACTGTGCCCACCTAATATTAATGTTTTTATATCACTAGACTCAGAAAAATGCTGGAACTTCAACACAATTAACTCTACTTAACAGCACAATCCACATACAAAAGACTATGCTGGAGGCAGAGTGAAGCCAAAGCTTGCTATCCAAGTCAATTTCTTTGTTCATGTATCAAAATAAATGCTGATCTACTTCTTCTTTTTTTTGGTGGAACCGGGGATTGAACTCTGACCCTTGCGCTTGCCAGGGAAGCACTTATTCTACTGAGCCATTTCCCTGGCCCCTGATCTACTTCTTTTACCTGAAAAAAATTGATATGAAGGAGAGTTCACAAAAAATGACCACCTTTTTGTAGCTACTACACTTTATTGTGCTTCTTGGGTGCCTAAAGTTGCTATTGGTCACAGTCCATTTAACATCAATAAATACAATGACCCAGTGAGCTGGGTTCTACCATCATCCCTATTTTCAAATAGGGAGCCTTATGCTCCACGGATTAAGTGATTTGCTCAAGGTCACAAAACTCAGGAGTAGCCAATCAGGATCTGAACAGAGATAGTCAACTAAGATGCTTTTTCTTAACCTGTAAGCTTTGCCACAATGCTTTTATTCTCAAACTGCCATCATTTTGTGTGTACAGGAGATTAATTCAGTACAGGGGACTGAATCTGGGCCTTTGTGCATACTGGTCAAGCACTCTACTCTGAGCTACATCCTCAGACTTTCCCCCACCCACTAGGCTTTTCAAATTTGACTATGACACAGGATCTTGCTAAATTATACAGACAGGGGCTGGTGAGATGGCTCAGTGGTCTAAAGCACCTACTTAGAACAAGCTTAGCAAAGCACAGGGACCGCGGTTCAATCCCCCAGCACCACATGCCAGCCAGCCCCGCCCCCAGGTGGGCTGAGCTAGCCATATACACACTAAATAAATTAATTAATAAATTAAAAAAAAAATAAAGATATGGTTTAAAAAAATAAAATAAAATAAATTATACAGACAGGTCTCACTTCCAATTCCTGCCATAGCCTCCTGAATAGCTGTGATTACAGGAGTGAGCCACTATTCCCAGTATGAAACTGCCATCTTACATATTATCAATTTCATAAATATGAAGTGAATAAAGTAAATGATATCCACTACTCCCTAGAGTAGGGAAGTGCTTTGGATCATGTTACTTAAAGCCCTCCTCTACTGTGAGGCCACCTTTTTGTTTTGTTTTGTTTTGTTTTGTTTTGTTGTGGTACTGGCAATTGACCTCAGGGCATTATGCATGCTAGGCAAACACTCTACCATTGAGCTATGCCCCCAGCCCTTGAGGTCACTTGTGCAATTACAGTTTTGGATAACATTTTACAAATGGATTTCTGGTTAAAATTCTATTGGGCAGGGGCTTAAAATTACTAGCTCAGATAATCACTAAACCAAATCCAGCACTTCCCTACTGTCCTCTGCTTCCAAAATCAAGACAAAGATCCTCTCTTAGCTGATTAGAATGATACATACTTATAATTCCAGCTACCTGGGAGGCTAACAAGCAAGACTACCAATTCAGTCTCCTGAATTTAAGACTAACTGAAAATAAAAGGCATTGGGGGAGTTGAGCGTGGTGAAACACGCCAGTAATCTCAGCACTAGAGAAGCTGAGACAGGAAGAATATTATTGCAAGTTTTGAGACCAGCTTGGACTGAAGAATGAGCTCAAAGCCAGCCTGCACTGCATAGTGAGACAATGTTGCAAAACGACAACAACAAAATAATAAATAAAAGAAATTAGGCATATAGCTTAATGGTAGAATACTTATCAAATATGTACAAGAGCCTGAGTATTCCCTAGAATGCAGAGGGATCCTCTTTTACTTACACCTTCCCCTACTAGTCTCCCCTATGTATTTGTGACTCCAAGAAGACCATGGCCAGTGGTCTTTTTCATCTCTGCAGCTCAAAGACAATATACTGCCAGGGTGGAGGTACACGCCTGTAATCCCAGCACTAGGACCATGGGTTCAAGGCCAGCCTTGGCTACATAGTAAATTTAAGGCCAGCCTGAATTGCACAGTGAGTCCCTATCCAAAAAAAAGTCATGTGCTCCCTAAGTCTCTTGACTACAGTTCTTGGTCCAGCCCCAGATGGTCAAGCCCAAGGCACAAATCTCCCAAAGGATGTGAAACAGCAGCCAAGGACACAAAACAGGCAATTCTGTTCTAACACTGAAAATAGTCCTCCTGACTCTCCCTTCTCACTCATTCTCCATTTATGGTCAGAGTATTAATACACACAGTCTTGATAAGTTCACTGTATCATGAGTAAGAAGTCACCATTTATGCTAATAAGAGCTGAAATATCTGACCTGGATGGCTCTTCTAGTAGCGCCTGCTTCTGGTAGCACAGCAAGAGCTGATCCCAAGTCTGCTGTTCTAATGAAAACCTACAGAATCCAAGGAAAAATTCAGTTAACATTTTTTGTGGGTAAGGGTGGTGGTGAAGATAAGGTTTTCCCACACAGTGGAGGCTGGCCTTGAACTCCCAGAGATCCTCTAGGCTCAGCTTCCCAAGTGCAGGGATTACAGGGGTGCACCACTACACCTGGCTATAGTTAACTATTTATTTTTAGTACCATAAATTGAACCCATGACCTCACGCTTGCCAGACAGGTGCTGTGCTGCTGTCCTACATCCCTGGCCTCAGTTCACTTTAGATCACATCATTCTAAACGACTTAGGGGGCTGGCGAGATAGATCAGCGGTCTAAAGCTCCTGCTTAGGCAAGCTTAGGCAAGTGCGCAGGGACCAAGCTGGTCACAAAAATAAACAGGCTGGGGAAATGGCTCAGTAGACTAAGCACTCCCCTAGCAAGTGCAAGGGCCTGAGTTCAATCTCCAGTTTCACAAACAAACAATTTAGGGCAACAATAAATACATTAGGCATATAATCTGGTTATAAAAAAGAAAATAGTCTCACTAAAAGATCAGAAATTTTGACTAATCCAGAGGCTATTAATTTTATTTATTTATTTATGTATGTATGTATTTTGGCAGAACTGGGGAATGAACTCAAGAAAGAAATTTTTTTTTTGTACCGGGGATTGAATTTAGGACCTTGTGCTTGCCAGGCAAGTGCTTATTCTACTGAGCTATTTCACCAGCCCTTATTTTATTTTTTGAGACAGGGTCTCACTATGTAGTTCTGGCTGGCCTTGCACTCACTATGTAGCCCAGACTAGCCTCAAACTCATGGCAATCCTGTCTCAGCTTCCCAACTGCTGGGATTATAGGTGTATGCCACTAAGCCCAGCCAGAGGCTATTAACGTAATCAAATAAAACATGATTTCTTAAAATCAAGTTAACACTGTTATCCCTTGGATGCCATCCTATGAAATTAGCCATCACAGCACCTATAAACATCTCAATATACAGCCTTCTAATTTTTAATGTTGACTCACTATAACTGAATGCTATGTTTATTATTAATTTTTCCCAGGTTTATTTTCCCCAGAAGGAGCGTAAGCTTAGATTTTCTGACAAAGGTTAACTCATTTTCACTTACTTCATTATATATTCCTTCATCTCAGCCACTGATGCTTCTAGATTCAAATCTAATGGTTTTCTGGAATAGAGGGATGATAATGAGATTAATATGAATCTTTCAAGAAACATTTGATTTTAGTATAATGCCCTACATATTTTTCCCTACATAATTTTATAGACAATAAAACATGGTGATATTTTTCTTCAACGAATACATATTCTTGGATTCTTATTATTTCACTAGATAGTAGTTTCTAAGTGTTTTTAAATTTTTTTTATCTTTTTTGACACAGCGTTTCACTATGCAGTTCAGGCTTATGTTGAACTCACTTTGTTGCCAGGGTGGTTTCAAACTTGCAGTGATCCTTCTACTTCAGGCTCCTGAGTGCTGGGATTACAGGTGGCACCACTAGTCTGGCTTGTTTTTATTTTTATTGATTTTTTTGAGACCAAATCATGCTATGTAGCCAAGGCTAGCCTTGAATTTACTGTGCTTCTCTAGCTTCAAACTATCAAGTGTGGGGATTATAGGTGTGTGATGCCACACCTGACTCTATTTCTCTCATCTATTCCAACTCATATCATGGCCAAATTAACCCTTGATTTTGTTTCCTTGCATAAAATCTCTATGAGGGTCTGGCCCGCTAGCTCAGCAGATTAAAATACCTGTTTAGGCAGACACAGGGGCCAGGGTTCGATCCCCTGTAATCCCAGCACTTGGGAGGCTGAAAAACAGGAAGGATTATCTGTGTACTAAGACCCTGTAATAAATAATTTAAAAAAACAAAACAAAACAAAACTATGAATGTCCAGGCATGGTGGCATACACCTGTGATCCCAGTACTCTGGTATGAGTCAGGTGGATCACAAGTCTAAGCCTGAGCAATTTAGCAACTTAGACCCTATCTCAAAATAAAAAGTAAAATGGTCTGGAGATATATTTCAATATAAAGAATCTGGATTCAGGGATGGGGAGATAGCTCAGTGGCCTAAGTAAGAGCCTGCCTGGCAAATGCAAGGACTGGGTTTGATTCCAGGTACTGCATGCTGTGCCAGCCCTGGC